TTGGGTTGATTCATGCTGTGCTACATAAGCTGCTTTATATTGTCGTATCGGGAGGTTGATTCATCTAGCGTACCACTGCTTGCTATAATTGGAAAAAGATCTTCCACACAATTTTAGCAAGTGCTGCTGAAGACAATATGAAAAAAAGTCTGGGATTGATATTGGAACATTATACAATGCTATGTCTTTGTGGAATGGTATTTTACCTATGCACATACAACATACAGAATATTTAATGCATTCTTATACTAGAAACTTTGTCCTCAAGAATCATTTATTACAGAAATAATGTAAAAGAAGAGGTTAATCCTATGACCTACTTCTGCATAGATACAAAAAGAACCTGGTTAAATTTGCTATTAATTTATCAGAACTTAAGTTTCAAGCACATTTTTAAACTGCCAAGAAAGTCAACACAGAAGTTCTTGTTGCTATCAGCTCCGAGGTATTTTTCGTCCTGGATTTCCACATTTGTACCATACAGCTAATACGAAAATCAGATCAATGTCCTAAACAGCTAATAGAGGGAAATATATTTTGCAAAGGCATTAAAATGTCTTCAGAGGAAGTGAGGACACAGAATGCATCAGTAGAGAATAATGGCAAGGATGTCCTGGGAATAAATGGAATGCATTTATTGTTCTCTGATCCAAACATATGAGTACATATTGCTCACTACTATTCTTTTCCAAGAGGTGCATTGCCAAGCATCTATTCTTGTTGCAAGAAAAGAATGATGCTCTAATTCTTATAGTTCTATGAACTACATCTTACCACTTTTAATTTCTTCTACCTACTGGATATATTAAAGATGCCTAGATGCCACTGGTGCAAATAAGATTCACTTACTTACTTACTTGTATCCCACCTTTATTATTTTTACAAACAATTCAAGTGGGAAACATCTCCAACAGATCTTCCTCCTCCTTTTTTCCCCACAACAGCAATAAACCTGTGAGAAGGGCTGGGCTGAGAGAGAAAGACTGGGCAAAAATCACCCAACTGGATTTCAAGGCGAAGGTGGGACTTGAATTCATGGTCTCCTACTTTGTAGCCTTAACCTGTTCTAAATTCACAGGAGACAGATAATTTTAGCCATTCTCACATTGTACCCCCATCAAGCTTTGCTGTGAGTCAGTGCTAATCCAACTCCAGGGATTCTCTACTTCATTCAATAAACACATTTATTCAAATGTCTACTCCAAAGAGAAGTATTCTATGGCTTCCCCTTTGTACAATTTCTCAATTGTACAAAATCTCCAAGACTGTGGCACTTTAAATTGGCTTGTTGCCAAATCAACATAGCTCTATTACAGAAGTTTCCTCCACAAATTATATATAAAAAGCCAACATTTCTGTCTCCTTTTGCGAAGGATGTCACAAGCTGTAGTATGATGAGGGAATGGCCTTGAGGAACGGGAGGAAGATTCTCTATCAAGGCAATAATCAGGTAAAAGAAGCCTGAGCCATGACCAAGAATGTAAATGTTTCAGACAAGCTCTTACCTAGTATACAATAAAGGAGGATAAAGGGAGATAGGAGGAAGCATGCTCAAACTTGGAAGTTTCTGTTTCTCTAGCTTTGTAATAAAAGTAGCACTGATCTACATGGCATTAGTTTTCTAGTTTGGCCTACTTTAATGGTTGACCCAAATTCCCCTTTCCATTATCAAGACATTGAAAACATGGGGGGAGGGCACTGTGGGATACTGCCTCATTTCAAAGATGCCCACTTTATTTTGGCACAACCTTTATGTATAAGAGTTCCATGTTCCGGTACAGGACTATACAATCCAGGCACCTGTGTTTCAAAAATGAGCACTTGTTCATTTTCACAAAACATCACTGCCATAGGAAACCAACCCTGAAACAGTATTGGGTACCAATACTGTTTACAACTTTTCTTTCCCATAAAACAGGGGTGTCAAACTCAATTTCATTGAGGGCCGCATCAGCACTGCGGTTGCCCTCGGGGGGGGGGGCGGGTGTGTGTGGCCAGGGTGGGTGCAGCCTACTGGGTGGGCGTGGATGGAGTGGTGTGGCCTACTGGGTGGGCATGGCCAGCTCTACATCGTTTGCGTCAAGGGTGCCTGTGGGGGCCTGGGCAGGAGTGGGACAGATCTGAGGGTCTCTGGTGAAGGGGGTGGGACCGGGGCAAGCGCCAAGGCATGGTCCATTTCTTCATTCCTCACAAAGGGTGACACCTCCCCAGCATGCACCCAGGGGACAGGGCCGACATGGCAGGGGCTGATTCCTCGCTGTTTCTAGATGGTCTTGTGGAGCTAAGACTGAATGCGTTTCAGCACAGATGGCCACCACAAAATTGTACATTCGCTCCCGGCCGGCCTGGGCCAGGGCCAAGGCAGTGGGGGCCGTTCCCTCACTGTTTCCAGGATGGCTTCGCAGGCCACATGAAACCACTTTGCGGGCCGCATCCGGCCCCCGGGCCTTGTGTTTGACATGTCTGCCATAAAATATATTTTTTTGTTACAAATCTAGGTCTAACACATCTTTATGTTTCTCTGAATAGTAGTAGCATCTCTTAAATAGATCAAAGCAGTCTAAACTTATAAATGTTAACACTACTCTTAATAAAAGGCAAACCATAAGTATTTCAAAAGTTTTTATAAAATACAGACAGATGTGTTTTGAGGAGTTGGTTGTTTCAAACTTGCTGAGAGCATTTTTAGAAATTATAGCCAACATTCTGGTAAAATAAATATATGTTATATTAACATGTATTTATTTTGCTATATTAACTATAAAACGTTTTTATGCAAAAAGTTTAATAATACAGTCATAATTTTAATACCATCCAGCAAAAGTATACTGTAAAAATGTTCTAGGTATAAACTGAATTTGGAGGACATTAGACAGCAATCCTATCCATTCTAACTCAGAAATAAGCTCTAACTATTTAATGGCATTTATTCCTGGGTAAGTGCGCAGAGGATTGCTGTGCTGTAAATATTTGAAATACAACCCAGCAGGGATGTCCTGCTCAGAGCATCACTGAAATGAATGGGAACCAGGCCTGATTGGTGAGTCTTTCCAGAAGATCAAGCCCTCGCAACATAGTGAGGTAGACAGTAGAAACAAAGAATTCTTCATTAGCACATAATTTTAAATCTTGCAGGAACATTTTTGAACGGACAAAATGGTATCATTACAGACATACAAATGAAACATTTGATTAATGCTTAAATCTGTACAGCTCAAATATATTTTAAAAATATTAGACACTTGAGTGCATATAATGCTCTGGGCATTAAGGGAAAAGGGGAAATGTACATTGCTCACCTCCATTTTTGTACTTTGCAGTCTGTTTTAAATAAATATTTACAGCTTCAATATGAACAACACTGTATCCAGACCAAAGTGTGCACTTTCTTTTAAATTATCGCTCCTGATCAAGGCTCTCCTTTATTAGCACTTTATATTATTTATCTATTAATTTATACACTAATACTTCTTTCCTCCACTCTCCCCACCCTTCTGAAGTTCTACGAAATCCTGAATCCCCAAGAGAAGGAAATGCCTAAGGAATCTCAGGAATACTTCTAAGTCTTCAGTGAAGAGCCTTATTTGTGGAGCAGTGTTTAACTATTGTCTCCCTCAGCATCACATCTGCATGGACTATAAAACACCACTGCAGCTGGCCAGCCTGCCTACTTGCCCTTCCTGGAACTTTTGAATTTTTAACATTTTGAAATGAAGGAGTTCTTTCACCCTCTCTAAACCTTCCTAGTGTGTCCCCCCTGTGGCTTTTCTCACAGCTTCTAATTAATAGATTTAAAAGAGTAGGACTGATTTTTATTTATGTATTTATTTAGAGCAATGTTTCTCAACCTTGACAATTTTAAGGCATGTGGACTTCAACTCCCAGAATTCCACAGCCAGCAATGCTGGCTGTGGAATCCTGGGAGTTGACGTCCACATGCCTTAAAATTGTTAAGGTTGAGAAACACTGATTTAGAGGAAGAAGGAATTATTTAATCTATTTTAGGATGGAAATATTTGTAAGGGAAACACAAAAGTAATTCTGGATTCAAAGACTGTCAAACTAAACGTTCTCTACACTTGCTTTCCCTGATACCTTCTCTTAAAAGAGAGCCTAGATGAGAATGCCAGCATTACATTCTTGGAACAGAATCCTGCATTGGAAGTGGTGGTGTAGTTTGACTTCGTTGCCTTCAAGTCGGAAATCAGAAGCCATCGATTGCCGTTTCAACACAGCTTGTCCGCACATGTGAACGACACGGGAGCAGGGAGAAAAAGTAAAAGAAGTCCGTTTTAAAACCTGAATGTAAAGCCCAAGTTCTGCCAACGAGAGGAGTGCAATAGGCTAGCGCCAGTTACGAAAGTAACCGACGACGCGTGTCTCTGCCTGCCTCCCACAATTCAGTTTCTGACCCACGTTGCCTCTCTTAAGAGAGTTGGGTAACCTCCCTGATTCTCCTTTTTAATTTTCCTCCAGGAAGTACAAGGACATATACTACAAGGAAAGGGGCAGTGAATTCTCCCAGAAAACCTTGTGTGTTTCCGGATTCAAAAACAAGGCTTAATTTCTGCAAAATGGGTCACTACTCGTTTGGGTAGTCCCAGCTTCCAGTCGAGGAGAGACGTCAATCATTCAGCCTTCATTCTCCCCACAGCAACTTTTTCCACGTGTTTTCTGAGCAAAATCTCCCATTCTACCTACGGCTTTGCCTGGACGCGGAAACATTGACGCTGTTCCCAAAACGGCGTCAGCTACTTTCTCTCTCCCGGCTCTTTAGGAGCAAGAACTTGAACCCCTTAAGCAGACATTGCGCAGGCGCAGTCCGGGCAGCCCCATTCTTCCCTCCCTGGCGCAGAGCGAGGGGCTCGCACGTGGCGCGCTTCCTTCTGCTTGCCTTCGCGGGTCTCTTCGCGCGCCTTCGCTCTCCGCCGGAGAAAATGCCCGATGCTTCTCTCGTCCGCCCTTCCGCTCCAGGGGCAGCCGGGGACGGAGGCGCGCCGCTACCTGCATCCGCAGGACTCGACCACCATGTCCTCGTACTGTTTGTACACGACGTTGTTTCCCGCGTCCGTGTAGAGGATGCTGATGGGCGTCAGCTTGGCCGGCACGCAGCAGCTGGGCGGCGTGGCGCCCGGGTCCATGGAGTTCATGAGGGTCTGGATGATGGCGTGGTTCGTGGGCTCCAGGTGCGAGCGCAGCGGGAAGTCGCACACGCCCTCGCAGTGGTAGGCCTCGTACTCGAGCGGGGCGATGATCCAGTCGTCCCAGCCCAGATCCTTGAAGTTCACGTGCAACGCCTTCTTGGTGCACCGGAGCCGCGCCTTCTTGCCGTGCCGCTTGCCGTGCCGGTTGTTGTACGCGGCGCGCTTCATCCGGCGGGCCTGAAAGCGCAGCTGGACCGGGCCCGCTGCTTCCCAGGGGAGCGCGGCCGCGTTTTGCGGCGGTGGCCGGACTCCCGGCTCCTGACGCAACTCCGCAAAGAGGTTCTTCCGCCTGGACTTGCTGAAGACCACCAGCAGCGCCTTCTCCTGCTGCGCCCGGGCGCCTCGCCCCAGGCCTAGGGGGCGCAGGTCCAGCAGCTGCGGAGGGGGGTGAGCTCGAATCCCCCCGACGGCCCGCAGCTCCAGGCAAAGCGGCTGCCGCTTCTTCCAGGCCCCGCGAAGAGGCTGTAAAGCTTGCCCCACATCAAAGACCTCCCAGTCGCCACCGGGCCGGGCAGGCGCCGCCTCCTGCAAGTCCAGAGTCCTGGAGTCCAAACGGCGGCCCGAAAGGCAGGGCGAGACCTGCAGACGGGCCAAGCCTGTCTGAGCCTTGGAGAAGGGATCGCCGGGGGCTTTGCGAAAGAGACGGAGCTCGGCCCCCACCAGCTCCTCTTTGTCTGAGAGAGTCGATACATCAAACAAATATTTTTGTCTCCTTAAAGCGGTGGGCGAAAGATCGTCTGCAAGATAAAAAAAAGGCATAATTGCAGTCAGTTTCACCTCTTAAAGGAGAACATAAAAACGGCCTAGGGGAGGGAGGGGAAGCCTTGTCCAGGTGTGGTGGACCTTTTCTGGTCCCCTTGTGCAACAAGAAATTGAGGGCTCTTCCCCAGCAGAGCTCCCAGGGAGCCTATCAAAATCCAAGGGATTTCCTAGAATATGGTAGCAAGCAACCCACAGGTTTCCAAATGAAGGGGTTTATATCTAATACCTGGTGCCTTTTTTTGTGCAAAACACAAAATACATTGAGGCTGCTGCACTCATTTGGCTCTAAAAGTTAAGTTGATTTGACATTACTGCTTTTGCATACAAGCCAGCTAGAATGTTGGAGACTTTCAACCTGTTTACGTTTGCTGTTCAAATTGGATTACTGTATATTTTTACAACTCCCAGGCAGATAGGATATTAAGGGATGAATCCATTTGTTAACTGTAATGCGTTTCCAATATAAAGCACCCCTTTCCCAAATCTTTCCATAAATTGGAATAATGGAGAGTTAAAAGAAACTTCATTGCTTAAAAATCGTATTTCCTATTTGTGGTTTACGGGAAGGTACTGTAATCACATTGGAATTATTTTTTAAAAAAATTGCTTTAAAACAGCAGTATGCAAAAGGCAAGCTATGAAAAGCAAATCAGGTCACCTCTATTTTTCTACTTACCAATACAAAGCTTTATAAGTTGGCAAATATACAGAATTTCTCCCTTTCTCCGGGTTTTTCCTGAAGAGCTAGTAAAACTTGTATGTCTTTTGGTAGTAATGTCCCCAACAAATATTGCAACCAAGAGATGCAGCTGCAGTAGTCCTGATCATTTATTGATTGCAAGGGTCACCAGTAATATTCCTAGTCAATATATATTTAAACTAAAAGGTCTGGATCAGAGAACTTGGAAAAATGACAGTAAAGTATCAAAAAGATGCTTATGATGGGAACCAAGATATCTTCAGATAACACTAGCAAGAGAAAGATTGGTTTAACACACTGTGCTAATCTGTCATTTATTTTGCTTGGTTCTGACTTTGCAAATGTGAACCCAAACAACGTTGGCTTCATCAGCAAACTGTGACTTTAATGCCACGTACAAATTCAAGCAAACTGCCAGTAACAAATATGCTGGTCACCTAATAGTGCTTCTTGTTTAAAAACATGGTAGGAATAATAATTCTCCTCTTAAGGATAGAAAAGTGTTCTGAGGCTCATTTCTTTGGCTTGTGGATTTTATCCATCCCTGCAATTTGATGCTTTGTTTTGAATTCCACAATGTGCACCTTTGTAATAGGCCTTGAAGCCTCTCCTAAGACAGTGTGTGCTTTACATGCTTGATGCTATGTCTTTTATTAAGAAATAGACTCTGCTTGTAAGTATTTGCAGACTAGATTTTTAGCTGCCTTATTGATCCATCAGTACATAATTAAAGGGGACAATGGCAGCTTCAGTGGCATTGAGGACTGTTGCATTGTGCTGAACAAAGGGCTACTTTACCAAAACTGAGGCAAGGCAGACCAGCTAAGGGAAAGGTATTACCTTTAAGTTGTTGGAGTGATTAAATCTGTCATGTCTATTAGGCAAGGAGATACCTAATGGTTGGATGCCAATGTCATCCTTTTAATCCTTGACAGTGGTTGATGGGGTGTTTTAAATGTCTTAGAAAATGTCTTGCATGTGGTTGTTTAACAGACAAGTTGACCAATGCCCAGGTTATGCATGCATAGTGGCAGTGCAGTGTTTGTGACCCTGTGAGTATCTTATCAAATTACATGGGGCTTACTTCCAACTGGTGCAAAGAGCTTTGCAGTCTTTCTTTGTAATCCACTGTGAATTCTAGTGGGAATTACCCCATGGAAACTTGAGGACCTGTTCCATATTTTTTAGTAGGGCAAAGGTAGATATTGATTGCCAGTTCTTTTCTAAGACATTTTGTTTGCAACTCTGTACTTGTCACCCTGCAAATGTACCTTGGAATAAATACACTGAGATGTGTAGTATTCTTAGATTGATGTTTTGTGATTCCTCCAATATAGTTTTACCATGTTATTCTCAGAAAAACCCTGAAAAGTAACTGGGCCCAAACTTCAAAATAATGTTCATATTGTGATCTCAGTGCCAGTCCTGGACTGCTTCTTTTTAATACTGGCTTTCTTTATATATACAGTGACCATATATCCTTTATTACAAAGGATGGACCATTATTTCAGAAAACTGTCATTTATTTTTTTTAAATTCACTTTCCCCCTTTATTTTGATCATTTAACTTTTACTGTATAAATATTACCACTTCATGCACAGTATTTTATATTTATGTGAAAAATACAAAAATTGAATTTCCTTTAAAAAAATTACATATACTGTTTGATTTTAGATTTTTTTTTTGTTAAAATAGCATTTTTGAACAATTATTTTTTGGTTTTGCTCTTGTAAACTTTGTAAAGCAAAGTTATTTTTTAATCCTTATAATCCTTTAATCCTTATGTTTCAGACTTGTCCCCTTTTTTGGTTTTTCCAACAAAATGTAGTCACCGCACTTATTATATAGTATGATGCTGAAATGAGTAGGGATTGCTCAGTCCAGATTGCTGGATACCTATTTCACTGTGTGAATATGAAATTATGGCTAAATTATATTTGCAATCAATAACTGCATTTAAACTGTATTAAAAATATAATTACAAGAAAAAAATTAAATGAAGTTTAGAATGCAGTTATGTTTTTAAATATTGTCAGAAAACACCACTGATCTCAGTGAAGCCGATTCCTGAATAAAACGAATCCAGGATTCTTAATGGGTTCTATTAAATGCTCAATACGGCCATTGTGGTAACAGAGGAATTAGTGTATGAAATATTGATGTCTCTTCAAGTATGAGCACCACATTTCTTATATAAAATTATCATCCAGACTAGACCACTTAAGTTTAATGCTGGGCAGGGAAACTCCTTTGCATTTCTTTGTATCCTCAGCGATGAAAGACAGTTAGCTTTAGACATTCTTTCCAAGGACAAGAGTATTTTTTAAAAAATGCTCATAGATGGCCAAGAAAATTATGTTCCTTTACATAGTCTTCTCTACAGCTGTCTGCTCACACTTCAATTCATTTCCAAGGAATGGCATGAATAAGCTCTCCCAAAGGGCTTTTTCCCTGACTTAGAAGCATGCAAGTTTCAGAATTACAAAGAGATGCATAACAAGTAACACCAGTCATAGCACCTCTATTAATATTATCAAATACTATTAAATACTATTAAAAAATACTACCAATTTTATTTTGGATACTGAGTGGTGTCATATTTGCAAAGTAAGTTTTAGTCTGTGTAAACTAAAAGAAGACAGACAGAATCCTGCAGAATTTCTTACCTAATCCTTTTTTAAATATTCCATACTCTGTAAAGAGCTCAAGATAATGTCATCATCAGGTTTTAGCTTAACAAATTTAAGGTGTTAGGTTAGTATTTTCCCTGTCTTTGCAACTTTCAGATGTGTAGGCCAACTCACAGAATTCCCCAGCCAGCCAGCACAATTGTTACTGAGAATTCTGGGAGTAGAAGTTCGCACATCTGGAAATTGCCAAAGTTGAGTAACTCTTCTCAGCTGAGAGAATGATTGGCCCAAAGCCGTCCAATAAGAACCCATTTATTCCTGTTCTAACTGTCAGTTTGCTAGCTCATCCCTTTTCCAAACTGAGGCTCTCCAGATGTGTTGGGTTGCAACTCCCATTATCCCTGGCACTTAATATAAATTAATATAGACCCCCCCTTGCTGCTATTGAATCTAAGCCAATGCTTGAAAGTGAGGTTAAGAAATTAAAAGATAGAAGTTCTTGTTTTCATAATCCTGCCCTGCGAAGGAAGGAAGCCCATGACTGTTGGGCATGCGCCTTCTGCTCAGTTGCTAAAATATCTATCAGCCTGCTGGAAAGAAATGGGTAGCAGCCTTATCTATTAGCCAGTTTGAAGCAGATAACCTCTAATCCTAAGAGGGCAGGCTTGGTTTTGAAAAAGAGAATAGATGGCAAATATCCGTCAAGAGTTCCACCCAATGAAAAAGTATAAGCTACATATTCAAAGATCTGGAAGTAGTTTTGCACATGCTAAGAATTATTAGCACACTTCATTGACAGATACAGGCAGAGCTTCCTCATCTTTCTAACAGAAATAGAAGATTAGGGCAACATTCTCCAAATTAGCGCCTTGCAGATGGAATTCTGACTATAAAACCCATGATTCCAAATAAGCATGGCTGAAAGACAAACTCTTTCATTCATTAATACTTCAGCCTCAAGGACAAACTGAGTCAGTTTAAATGTTCTCCTAGTTGAGTATTCTCATTGCAGATCAAGTGAAGCAGAAATACCCCAGAGAGGTGTTTGAAGATGCCAGGGCAGAATTTAAAGCTTCTGCGTAAACAGAATTCCTTCGCTAAACAAAACCACTTTCTTCTGAAATCAGAGGCCCTTACAAGCAATTTTAGGGACCTTTGCCTTTGATTCCTGAACATTTTTCTTATGAGCCAGATTTCAGTATCAGTAACAAGTTTGAAATGGGTGGTGATCCAGACTGCAGTCTTACATCTGCTCAAATGGGAGTAAGACCCACTGAAAGCAATTCCTTCTACTTTTGATTGATTTGTGTGGCACAAATTCAGTCATTGGAAACAGTTTATAAGAATTAGCTGTTACTTGTGAGTTTCCAAGACCATCAGGAAGACCTGCCTTTGGAAACAGGAGACTGTGCTTGATATTGTCTATGACTTTTGGGTAAACAACCATATAATCGCCCTGACCTTGCAGGGAGATTATCACATTGTTAAGAGTAATCTAGCAGAATATTATTGGGAGGAAGGTATTAGAGGAAGTGGTGGAGAGGATTGGAAGGAAGGGACCCACCTAAAACAAGGGGAGAATTTCCTAACTGAGAACTATTAAGCGAAAGAACCGCCTGCCTCCTGAAACTGGGTGCTTCATCA